TAGGGCGCCAGCCCCATACACTGAGGGTGGCAGGTTCAAACCCGGCCCCAGCCAGCTAAAAAACAGCAGTGACAACAGCAACAAAAAAGCCAGGCGTTGTGGTGGGTGCCTGTAGTCTCAACTACTTGGGAGGCTGAGGCAAGAGAATCACATAAGCCCAAGAGTTGGAGGTTGCTATGAGCTGTGATGCCATGATAGTCTACCAAGGGTGACAAAGTGAGACTCTATCTCAAAAAAAAAAAAAAAAAAAGAAAGAAAGAAAAAAGATTTTCAGAAGTAAATATATATTCTCATCTTGTAAAGACCTTCAGAACAAGTTTCTAAATAACATCTCACTTATACAAAACCTAATTTCTTGGCTGTGAGAATGAGACCTTTTAATGTTGAGTATTGCTGTTTTGGAAAGGTATTCTGCAGAGGCAGATTTAATGGTGGTTAAATTTCTAAGATCAGGTCAGTAGAAAAAGAATCGTCTCAAGGTGGGGTGTGGTGACTAATGCCTGTAATCCTTGTACTCTGAGAGGCTGGTGGATTGTCTGAGCTCAGGCATTCCAGACCAGCCTGAGCAAAGTGAGACCCCCATCTCTACTAAAAATAGAAAAATTAGCTGGGTGTTGTGGTGGGAGCCTGTAGACCCAACTACCCAAGAGGCTGAAAAGATCGCTTGAGCCCAAGAGTTTGAGTTTGCTGTGAGGTATGGTATCAAGCCACGCTACCCCAGGCCACACACCATTTCAAAAAAAAAGAAAGAAAGAGAATCACCTCTTCTAGTACAGAAGGTTTTATTTTCCACTTTATAAAATGGTTTCTTTAGTTCTGCTGATATAAAAGTAGAACTAACATAATTATAACTATTTAAATCAAAACCTTACTAAAAATTATTCACAAGAAAAAAGCAACACAAAATAGAGTTCTCTTAACAGGCAACCTGGATGCTGCAAAAACACATTAATGGGCCTTCAAAATATAGTAGAATTTACTTCACTAAATATTAAAATCTATTCTTACCCTACAACAGGAAAACAACTTTTTAGGCATTCAAAATATAGTAGACACTTACTTTACCAAATATTAAAATCTATTCTTACCCTATAATAGGAAAACACTGGAGAGCAGATAGATACAAGGATGAACTCCTTTTTTTTTTTTTTTTTTTGAGACAGGGTCTCACTCTGTCACTTTGGGTTGAACACTGTGGTGTCATCATAGCTCACAGCAATCTTAAACTCTTGAGTTTAAGCCACCCTCTTGCCTCAGCCTCCCAAGTATCTGGGACTATAGGTGTTTTCCACAATGCCTGGTTAGTTTTTCTATTTTTAGTAAAGAAGTCGTCTTGTTCTTGCTCTGGCTGGTTTCAAACTCCTGAGCTCAAGCAATCCATCAGCCTCAGCCTCCTCTGCTAGGTTACAGGTGTGAGCCACTGCGCCTGGCCCAAATCAGACCATCTTACCCTTATTAATTTTGTTTCTGGCCTAAGATATATGCATAAAGAACCATCAGAAGATGAGCTTTGGAAAAGGTTTCTAATTCTGGCTTGGATATTGGTATTAATGATGAATAGAATCTCTTTTTGCTTTATTAAGCCATGCAAGTTATTTCAGGAGCAACAGTTAATTGTTATAGTCTGATTTGGTAACTTTACATATAAATAAGTTGTAAAGCATTTCAAACATACAAAAACAGAAAAACACAACACAACATTCAACTAAGCATTCATCACCCAAACTGATTCGATATTAACATTTGACCTGCTTTACTTAAAAATTCTCTCATATATATTATACACATAATCCAAAAAGTTAGATACTATGTATACCTAAAGCTCACCTCATATCCTTCCCCAAAGAAACTTTTTTCTTA